CAGCACGACCACCACACCCAGCCCGCCACAAAGTTCCCCAGTCCCCGCCCCACCCGGGAGAAAACCCAAGTCGACTGCCCTGCACTTTCTGCACTCTTCCCTCCGCCCTTACTTCCCTTTCCACACCTCCGTCCTGCACTCCCTTCGTCCCTTTCCCTGGGACGCCAGGGCTTAGCCCAGCTGCCTCCCCTGGACGCGGCGCCAGGCCCGTGTCGCCCAACCTACGGTTGCCATGGTGACGCGGGCCCGGGGAGACGCGCCGGGAGGGACCCGATTCCCGCGCCACAGGCGCGCGCCCAGAGTCGGGAGAGCTGGCCCAGCGCCCCCGGTTGCCATGGCGATGCGGAGGCGCGCCGGAAGGGCCGGGCGCGTGGTTGCAGGCGCGCGCCCCGGCGCCCTTGCTCGACCCTGGCCTGGGCATTTGGGTCTCCCAGGAGTCGCGGGAAGCTCCTTGCCGCCCTCCCCGCCGGGCTGCACCACCCAGCAGCAAGAGGAACGAGGCCTGGGGGACTCAGAGACTGCCTCTGGACTCTCCGAATTCCAAGGGGCCTCGGCGCCGCAGCCGTTCGGGTCTCGTCCTCGTTTTCCCGCCATCAGTGCCCGGTAGCCCCCGGTTGCCATGGTGATGCGGGCCTCGGAGGAGGTCCGATCACTAGTGGCAAGGGGTCCGCTCTCCACTTCCCACCAGCCCCCGACTGTGGATAGTAAATGGGGATGAAAGAGTTACACTAGGGGCCTACCAAGATTCTTAGGACTGTCGGGGTGGAGGGCTTTTCCCGGCATTGGACAGCTTCCTGGGGCCCCTGGTGACTTCACTCTCTTGGCTTCTCCTCGCGGGGTGAGGGTGCACGGGGGTGGCTGATCCCTGTCGCTGCAGGACCGCCTGACGTTTTCGAGGCCGCTTAGTTTGGGTAGCATGGATGTGCCATAATAAATATGACCAGTCTCCTGCTAGAGGACATTAACTTTGATCCAATCTTTTGTTCCTACAAACAATGCTGTAGTAAGATCCCTGTATATACCTCTGTGTACATGTGGAATTTTCTCCGTGGAATAAATTTCCAAAAGTAAAATTGCTGTGTCAAAAGCCAAATGCAATTTTAATTTCCTTGGATATGACCAAATGGCTCTCCAAAGACACTAGCAAATTTACCTCCCCATCAAAACTGGAATTTCATAATTTTTTTTTGAGGAAGATTAGCCCTGAGGTAACATCTGCCAATCCTCCTCTTTTTGCTGAGGAAGACTGGCCCTGAGCTCACATCCGTGCCCATCTTCCTCTACTTTACATGTGGGATGCCTACCACAGCATGGCTTGCCAACCGGTGCCATGTCCACACCCGGGATCCGAACCGCGGCACCCTGGGCCTCCGAAGCGGAACGTGTGCACTCAAACGCTGCACCACCCGGCTGGCACCCCTCCATAAAGTTTTAATAACAAATTTAAGCTGGGCAATCTATTTTAGTTTGATTGGTTATTTGAACCGGATCTGATTTTCCCAGTTTTTGTAATTTTCAACGTTATCCTCAAGATATGAGTTTTCTGAAAGTTTTTTTAAAAATAACTTTAGGAGGTGCCTTCTTAACTGTTGTCAGTTTTATTTTGTACTATTTGTTTCTACCAGTGATAGTCATTGTGAATCGGAAAGAAGGTTGATAATTTTTATCTACTTCTTGACTCAAGAACCAATGAGTAAGGCAAAGATGTAGGACCTGGATACACAGCAAAGTACAGATGTTCTGTTTTACTGGGCAGGCTGACCATGTGCCACCATGTCCTTACTAGGTACTGGGAACACAAGACCCTGCTGTGAAGGAATTCATGGTCTAATCAGAGAGAGAGAGAAGCTGGCTGGCCTCAATTTGCCAGTTGGACGAGAATGAAAAAGGCCTTCCAGATGAAGGGAACAGCCGAATACAAGGTGTTTATTCATTCAGGAAATATTTATTTGTGCCTGCTCCATGCCAGAAACTGGGCTGGGAGCTGGGAATGCAGGGATAAACAAGTTTCATGAGGTCCCTGCCCTCTTTGACGGTGACTCGTAATCCGAGATGTGAAGGATGAGTTGGAATGTCTTTCCTGGCAGAGGGAACAACCCAAGCCCTGCAGTGAGAATAGGCCCTTCTGAGGGCATGAACGCAGGCCAGAGAGGCTGGCATAAAGTGGACTGAGGGAGGGCGCTGGGGGAATGAAGGCAGTAGACGGAAGTTGGGTTCTGCAAGGCCGTGTCCACCACGCTAAGAAGTTTATATTTTAACTTAAAAGCAACAAGCCAGGGAAGAGCATCAAGAAAAGGAGTGGTCTGATTAGATTAGAAATACATTTTTACCATGTCTGTGTGGAGAGTGGATGGGGGCAGGGGAGAATAAATGCCATGAAACCAATTAGAAGGAGACTGCTGCAGTTGTTCAAGGAAGCGATGATGGTAACTGGGCCACGTGGTATCTGAGGAGGGACGTATTCAGTGGAGCAAGTGCTGAGGATGGAATCAGATGGGCATGAATGGAGGGCTGTGTGAAGTGAGGGACTATATTGTGAGAAATATGGACGGAATCGTGTGCCCCCCCACTCATATATTGAAGTCCTAATTCCCAGTACCTTAGAATGTGACTGTGTTTGGAGACAGGGTCTTTAAGGAGGTAATTAAGGGTAAATGAAGTAATCTGGGTCGGCCCTAATCCAGAATGACTGGTCTTTATAAGAAGGGGCCGGCCCTGTGGTTAAGTTCGCACACTCCGCTTCGGCGGCCCAGGGTTTCTCCGGTTCGGATCTTGGATGCGGACCTAGCACCGCTCATCAAGCCATGCTGAGGTGGCGTCCCACATAGAGGAGCTAGAAGGACCTACAACTAGAATATACACCTATGTACTGAGAGGCTTCGGGGAGAAGAAGAAGAAGAAGAAAGGAAGATTGACAACAGATGTTAGCTCAGGTGCCAATCTTAAAAAAAAAAAGAAGAGGAAGAGACACCAGGGATCCCACGAAAAGGTCATGCAAGGACACAGCGAGAAGGCAGCCATCTGTCAAGCCCGAGAGAGAGGCCTCAGGAGAAACCAAACCTGCCCACAACCCTATCTTGGACTTCTAGCTTCTAGAGCTGTGAGAAAATATATTTCTGTTGTTTAAGCCCCTGAGTCTGTGGTATTTTGTTGTGCAGGCTCTATGGGACTAATACAGACCCAAATGTCTAAATAATAGGGCAGTTGGGAAATCAATCGTGGTGGTGCATCCTTATTGTAGAAAAGAGTCTTAGCCCAAGATATGCCCATGCAAGTTCAGGATTTTGACTTCATGAGGAGGTTCATTTAATCTCCTCTCTTTGGCTTGGAGGAATTTCACTGCATTTACAGGGACCAATACTGTGCTTCAGGAGCCGCCACCAGGCTGTCCTCTCCCCAGTGGCCTAGTCGGTGCCGGTGGTAGTTAAGTGTGCTACTTTATAGCAGTGGCAATCTCAGGCATCACTTGCATTGTTTCCTTTGTCTCTGTCACTGTGGGTTTTTTTCAATTTCATAACTTTGAAAATCATGTATGTGTTTTGATTATAAACTCTTGCAGTAATTGTACGCCATCAGTTTACATAGTAAGTATCCTTTCTACTTATGAAAATTCCCCTACAAACTTTTTTGGGAACAAATTAACCTTGTAATAAAGGAGGAAGGCTATTCAATGCAAATATTCAAAAGAATAAGACAGGAAAAATGAGGCAGCTCTACATACACTGACATGAAAGACGCCCAAACAGGATGGTGAAGTGGAAGAAAAGATACAGGTCGATTATGAACCTGTTTTTGTTTTTTAATAGAACCATTTGTTAGTAGATGCTTAGGGAAGAAATCTGGAAGCATGTGCAGCCAACCTTTAAAGTACTGTAAAAATTCTACCATTTAAAGATCTGAGTTCTGCCAAATGAGCCCTGTTGGTGATAGCCTACAGCAGGGAAACCGCGGTACATGGCGATATGCTGAAGGCCAGTGAAGGACTGGCACAGCCACAGCCCCCCAGGCTGGGATTCTCATGCCTACTGTCCAGGACACATGACTGAGGCTGGCCTTCTGGGTCAAACCACAGAGCAAATGCTAACAAAGCTTGATGTCTATCTTATTTTAAGATGAACATAGCCATAAATACAAATCCTAACATTCTCTTCTTCTCCCACCCCAATGGATCATTTTGCTCTCCCGATGTGCCCTACTGGAGAGAACACCAATTTTTTTCTAACTATCCAGATAGACTACTCTACAAATGGAGTGGATGGTGTTTCATTAGAACAGTCTGTTTATGCAATTAGAATACAATTTTGTGTATAAAAGATCCACTGTGTATGATTCAGAGAACATGACTGTTCTGAGAAAGGAGGCACCAACACGACCGGGTATTGGTTTTCTTAGTTGAGAAAGGAGGACGACGGACTTTGATGATCTTGACGAAGGCTTCCCACCGGCTTCCTGAAGCTCCTGGCCCTCTCTAGCCATTGATTGAGCAGTTGAAGTGGCTGTACTGAAATGAAGTGGTGTCCTTGAAGGAAATTGTGTCCAGGGTGACTGTGCAGCAGTGTGATACGTGGCAGTCTTTGAAATAAAAATATTTAAAGTCCTTTAGTGTGATTCTGTGTAGTTCTTCCACACTGAAGAGGCTCTGTTTTATAAAACTTGAATTTCATAAAAGAATTTAATAGTATCCTTTCATAATACATCAAAATATTGGTTTTCAGATTTTTAACTACTTCTGCTGGAGATGGAGGTTCTGGAAAGAAGCTTAAACTAAATGCTAAGTGCTGTTACCAAGTGGAGAAATGAAGATTGCACATTGCCAAAATGGTTGCGTACATTTTTGAGAAATTATTTTGTTTATCAAAACAAAATTCGTAGAACTCTTGAGCAAAAATGCATTAACGATCAAAATGGCATTGAATTAGAAAAAGTTAATGAAGCAATAGGACACTCTTTATTGAAACCCTCTGTGCTAATGTTGGTGCAGGAAGCACAGTGATACTGGCTGACATTTATCGTGACATTTATTGTACTGTGTGGCAGGCTGAGCAGATCAAAGGGGTGGGTTATCTGCACAGCTGCCCAGAGCACTCGTCCATAAGCAGCACTAACACAGCGAGGTGACAGACTGGAAATCTGGTGCCAGTTGCTTGAGAGTTTCCCACAGCATTCTTTCAGAGTTGGCAAACTGTTAAGTGGTCCCACTCCCACTGATGTAGGCGGCACAGGATGAGGGGGGAGGGGCTTTAGATCAAGTGGAAGAGGCAACTTTCAAGGTAGGCCTACATGAAGGTGAAGAGGAGCCAGTTACGTGGGGTACCAAGAGAAGAGTGTTCCAGGCAGACGGACAGTGAGGGCAAACGAGCTGGTCCCAGGTGTTCAGGAAAGAAAAGGGAGGGCACTATGGCTGGAGCAGAGAGAGCCTGGGAAGGAGGTGTCAATAGGATTGGAAGGTAGGCAGGAGCCACGGGAAGGGAATAATAATCGATATTATTTGAGCTGTGATGGGAACACATTAAAGTTTTCAACAGGGGAGTGGCGTGAGCTGACTTACCTTTGAAAAGACCCACTTGGTTGATGTGTCGAGAGAGGCTCCAGGAAGACAAGAATGGAGGCAGAGAGCGTAGATAAGCAGGTACCGGTGTAGGATTATCCAGTGAAAGATGATGGAGGTGAGAGGTGTGGATGATGGGGATGAAGAGAAGTGGATGGACTTGAGATGAAACTTCTAGTTAGAACCAACAAGGCTTGAAGAGAAGCTGGGTGATCTAATATAACTCCTAGGATTATAGTTCATGCACCTGGGTGGATGGTGAATGGAGTAGCCATTTACCGATATATGGCAGACATATTGGACACGTGGGAAGACAGGATTGTGAGTAGAGGGTCAAGGGTTCCGTTTGGAACATGTTAAGTGTGAGATGTCTATTAAACATGCAGGGGACGATGTCAGTAAGCAGCTGGGTATCTAAGTCCCCAGGGAGAACTCAGGGAAGAGGCCAGAGTTGGAGACAGGAATCTGTGACTCAGCATATAGGTGCATTAAAAACCACAGGGCAGAACGAGATGCTCCAGGGAGACAATGTGGGCAGGGAGGAGCAGGAGCTCAGGGCTGGTCCCTGAGGAATGCTGGCCGTCAGACGCCAGGCGGAGGGAGCCCTGCAGAGGAGACTGAGAAAGAGCAGCTGGCGAGATGGGAGGGAATTCCTTGGGATTGATTCCTTTCAGACATGGAAGGTGGAAAATTCCAAATGTGTTCCATCACATGTAGTGCTTATAATATGTTTTTTAAGTTTTTGCCACATAAGGAAGAGTCTCATGCAGAGGACCCATCTTTTACTGCCAGTTCTCCTGCCTTTACCACCTGCTCTGTTTGCAGAAGTCAGACGGGAAATGCTGTTGAGAAATTAAGGGAGTCTCACCATCGCCCCAATTGCTGTGGCTCAAAAGCTGTCCCGACCCCATTTTACTTACCCCCCACATTTAAGGCATCAACTAGTATTGTTGGTTCTATCTCGTCAATATCCCACATGCCCGCATTTCTCATGCCCTCACTGCTGCCACCCTGTCCCAAACCATTATCTTCTCTTTCCTGGAGAACAGCAGCCCTCCCTAACTGGGCAGGGCTGGGCTGCTGCCTCCACCGTCAAGCTCCGAGGAGCTGTCCTCCATCCAGTAGCCAGAGGGCTCTCTCTAAAATATAAATCAGAATGTTACTTCCCCTTAAAACCCTCCAGAGAAATAACTTAAGTGACTATCAGTAGGGAACTGGTTAAATAAATATGGTACACCCACGGAGTGGAACCCTATGCAGACATACCCAAAAAATGATAATGAGAACACCCTACCAGTGCTGATACAAAGGCTCTCCAGGATGGGAAGGGAAACAAGCAAGGTGTGAATGTTATGCCACCGTCTGTAAAAGCAAAAGGGATGGGGAGTGTGTGTGTTTGATGTCTTTATGTGTAATATCTTACGGCAATGGAAGCAAACACAAGAAACTAGTACCTAAATGGCTTCCAGGGAGAGGATCTGGGCAGGTGGGGGAAGCGAGGGAGGGAGATAGTTTACCTTTCGGTACTCCTGAATTTTGAATCAGATGACCCTATTACCTGTTCAACGATAAAGCAATTAAATTAGAATGTTTACACGAATTAAATCATGAACTCTCTCATCTCACTTAACAGATAATCTAGTCTCCTTGTCCTTCTTCGCTACAAAGCCTCACAACGGGGCCTCGCCCATCTCTGCTCTCATCTTCCAGCACTTTCTCACCAAGTTCCAGCCACTCTGCTCCCTCCTGAACCTCAACATGCCAAGCTTAGTCCCTTCTTGGGGCTTTGCTGTTCCTGACCCCTGTACCTTGACCTCCCCAGATAGCCCTCCATACTTTCTACTCAGAAGTCCCTTCCTCAGAGACGTCTTCCCCGACCCCAATTTAAATTTGCTACCCCTCGCCTCCCATCGCTGCAAATCCACATTCTACTTTCTTCACAGCAATGACCATCATCTAAAATTGTTTTATTTACCTGCTTATTGTATGTCTCCCCGCTATGCTCATATGCCACCATAATCTTGGTGCTTAGAACACTGCCTGGCTCATACTATACAATAAATATTTGTTAATGACTGAGCGAGTGTTTTTCTATTTTTGCTGCAACCTTCTAGAGGTCCTGACAGCCATGATATTTATAATAGCTCTTGTTTCGTTTCTTTACAGTTCACAGTGACAGCGCACAGACTAGAGTTCTAATCCTGGCTTCTCTTCTTAGCTCTGTGACCTTGGGCAAGTGACAAACCTCACTGGGTTTTGTGAAGATGAAGTGAAAGCTGAGGTATAAAGTGCCAGTCCTGGCAGGCTTCGCTCGTGGAGCCTCACCACAACCCAGGGAGAAGGCTGAATGGGGATGACTGTCATTCTGTGGAGGATGAGGGGATGCGCCCACGGAGGGGAGTGACCTGTCCAAGGTCAGGTTACCCGGGCAGCAGAGGCAGGTCTCCACTCCAAGGCTTCTGGCTCCCTGCTCAGCACCTGAGCGCCACAGGCTTTTCTCCTCACTGTTCTGACTGTGCAGGAGCCCCGGCCCCTCCCCGGGCATGGAGTCTATGCTTGTAATCAATCACCACGATAATTTCCCCCTTTACTGAGAATTGGTCGTTTGTCTTTTGATTTTCTCCTCATCAATGGTTGATACGTTTTGGCCCAGAAAACAGTACATAGAGTTTCTAAACAACATCATCAAATTAAACGCAGTGACGCGCTGACTTAGGGAAGCCGTCATCTCTCCGTTTCTGAAAAGCAATGAAACGGTTGATCAGTTTCACCTCCGTGCGTTTATTCGTTATAACTGACAGAAACACCAACACTTAAAGCTGGAGAATTGAACCCGTCTTCTAACATAAGTGCCGAAATGCAAAGTCATTTTCCAGACATTGTGTTCATATTTTATTTTCTCAATTTAGACCGCAGACCGCAGGAACAAGGGCTGGATTTGTAAGGACCTGGAGGAAGCAGTGAATCTCTGAAATCTGACAACAGATGTCACCAGCACTGTGTTGCTCACAGAGCCATCGTGCTACCTGGCATCTCAGTGCTCATACATTTTCTTTGGCGTAGTAAAATTTTTTGCGAGAATACAGTGGCTCATTGTCAAAAATTTCTGCGTCATTGTGCCACCACATCTGACCCTGCTTATCCCCGCAGTGACCTTAGGCAGTCACAAACATCATCTCCATTTTGTGAGCAGAGAAACTGAGGCTCAGAGGGGCCCAGTATTGCCCAAGGTCATGCAGAGGATGACACATGCCTGTCTGTCTCCAAAGCTGTGCCCTTTCCATGCTCTCCTTGGTTAAAGTCCAGCGCCCCCATAGACAGTCCCCAAAGGGTGCCAGCCGTGGAGAGTGTTTACCTTGCAGCCATCCTTCTGAGCCAATTAGAGCTACTCAGTTTAGGAATATCAGACTGAAGCAGATCAATAGAGGCAGAGCAGGCTGAAATGCAGAATTTAAACGAGCAAAATGAAGGCACGAAATCTCCCGGAAGCAGAATCCCAATAGGCCCCCTAGCTTGCAGCTCCCTGATGCTAAGGCACTGACATTTGAAAAGCCTTAACAAAGTGTGTGTCCTATTTTCCCTTTCCGCCTCCCCTCTGTGAAGTGGCAATCAGCTTTGTCGTTTGTTCTCCGGGAAACCAGTCAGGGTGTGCCAGGGAGACCACAACTGAGAATTTAAGATGTCTCTCTCTTGCAAAATCTAGGGAACAAAGGAGCTGTTTTGTGCTCTTTGATTCACGTCAGTCTTCAGTACAGTGCGGAGAATGCATTCATCATGACGCCAAAGCCAGCAGAGGCTGGGCGGGGCCGGGATGCAGGAGTGTGAGGCACGGAGGCCACCCTCCGTCCTTTGGGGTGGGTGACAAGGGGGACACCAACATTTGCTAGCCCCTGCTGTGGGCCAAGTGCTTTGTACACGTGGTCCTACCTAATGTGAACGACTTGCTAAGTAGCTAAAACCTCCTCCTCTCATTTTACAGATGGGAAAGCAGAGCCTGAGAGGTCACGTGACTTAGCCAGGCGCCAGAGCCTGTCTAAGGCAAGTCCCTCTGATCGAAACCATCTCATTCTCCGGTGAATTCCCGCTCTTGGTGTTCCCAGTGCCAGGCCCCTCCCTGGGCCCTTCTCCCGGCTGGATCATCGGAGAAGTGACCTCAACATCCGCGTTCTGATCTAGGCCATGCCAGTATCTGGCTGGGCATGCATGGACAGGCCACTTCATCCAACGATAAAACTAGGATGCTAGTCACCATTCCAGGCTCAAATGAGACCCCTCAGCACCCTTGCTGGAGCTCCAGCTGTGAGTAGAGTGTTCGCGCCAGGCAGCTACCACTCTACAAATAACTTTAAAAGATTAACTAGAGTCCAAACATGAAGAAAGCATGCTTTTCTGAAGAAGGCGTTTATAACGGGAGGGTACATGTAACATTTCCGTGTAGTTCTGTTTCCTCCACTAAACCAGCTCTGCTGCCCCATCAGGCTCCTCACGTGGGGCCTCACACACAGGATGCTGATAACGCTGCAGCATCAGAAGGCGGAGAAAGAAGAGGCCACACTAACAGACGGAGCCCAGGGAGGAGCGAGTCCTTCAGTCTGGGTGAATCTGAGGCCCGTTCTGACTGTGCCGACAAGGTGCCTGGTCTGGTGCCAGGGGTGTGGGGAGCTTGGTCTTCTGGAGGAGACAGAGCAGCCTGGAGGCCCCAGCCAAGTTGTGGAGCCCTCCCGGCACACGAGCACCAGGGTGAGGCTCCCTGCGCTGGGCACGGCAGCTGGGGGTCTGCACCCCTTGGATGCTTTAACACCTGAGGTTCCCAGGGGGTCCTAGACAAGCGCCCTGCTCAAGGCCACTCAGTAACTGAGTGCCTCAGGTGGATCCAGACCCGGGGTCAGCCAGCTCAAGCGCTTGCACTCAAGCCTCAGACTCTCCCAGGGGAAAATTCACCCAGAGACACTAGTAAAAAATGAGAAATCTGGAGTCCGCCCCCACCCCCATTATGATCCCAGCGGCCTGAGTGGGGCGGAAATTCTTCTCTTTAACAAGTACCAAGGTGACTCTGTTACGGGCTGTCCAGTCCACCTTGGGTACAAATAAGGAGGCTGTAACAGCCCTGAGGGTTCACCCGAATGGCCCAGAACAACTCGAGCCGAGAGGAACTCAGCATCTCCTCTGTCCCGGGCGCTGTTCTGAGGGCAGACTAACTCCCTGCTCCTCCTAGCAAATCCAGGAGGAGGGAGCCATCGTCATCTCCACCGCACAGCGCTATGTCATAAAACACTACGTTATATTATACTATATTACTATAATATGTGATGAAGGAGGAAAGGGAGCCATGCAAATCCAGGTTGGCGAAGACATCGCTGACATATTATAAATGAGGAAACTGAGGCCTAGAGAGGGGACATAACTCGGTCAACGTGACAGAACTTCTCATGGCCAGACCGGGTTCTGGACATCTGGAACCAGGCCTCTGGACCACCATGCTAAACAGGCTCTCACAACATGCTGAAGGAGCCCGGGAAGGAGTGACTGGTGCTACCCGGGATGCTGGCTGCGGACAGAGTGGTCAGACACACGAGCTAGGAGTCCCATGAGCCAAAGTCGACCCCATGGAGCAGGCGGAGATGATAGTCATAGATAGGGCCTGAGAGTTTCTGCTGATCAGAAACTCTCTGGGGCAGGGCTCAGTCCTCAGTGTTTCAACACATGCTCTAGGTGACACTAAGGCTCGCTCAGGTGTGAGGACCACTGAGCTAGGTCATCTCGAGGGGGTGGGTGTCGATGCCCTGCAGCCCCCAGTTCAGGCTCCTCCACGTCCTCTTGGCCTTGAGGTTTCTGGGCGTCTTAGTTTCCTGGTTGGCGTCTCAGTTAATCCCACACGCGTAATCACTAGTTGGCAGAAGGGAAGGGAGGAGCGGGACGGCTGGAGCCCAAAAGTGCTTCAGTTTTGAAAACAATGATTCTGAGGCCAGAAGCACTTCTGCAGAGAGACATCCTCAGTGAGTGTGACGGCGTGGGCCTGCTTGACCCCTCCGAGGGTGTTGCTGAGTGGGCACCAGTGGCCTCTTTAACAGCCTCATTTCCAGCTCCATTGTCTCTAAGTGCAGGCTTCCAGCAGGACCTCAAACACGTTAAGTGCAGAGACCACGGTCGCACGTCCCTCTTCCTGGCCCTCGGGAGTTGGGGTGTAACCCGCAGCGCTCCGCCCTGGTCCTCTACCGGGTCCCCTGACGCACTGCTCCAGCCGCGTGGTCCTCCCGCCCTTCTGCGCATGTGCTGAGCCCGCTCCTCGCTCAGGACAGTGGCGCCGGCTCTTCTCTCTGCCTAAAAGGCCGTTCCCCAGGCCCTTGCGGGGTTTGCTCTATCCCTTTGTACAAGTCTCTGCTCCAGCGCCACCGCATCAGAGAAGCCACCCTGGCCACTCTGGCGAAAGTGGCCACCCATCCCCACTCCATGCTTGGTTTTGGTTTTCTTCCACCTGACGTTATTCAACACTTTTATCTGTTTATTCTACACCACCCCTCTCCACCAGAATGTAAGCTCCGTGAAAGCAGACACCGTTTTGTCCACCGCTAAAATCCGGGCTGCTAGAACAATACCAAGCACGTGAAAGGAACCGAATCGTCGTTGAACGAATGAAATGAATGAGGTCTTCCTGATCTACGTGGCTGAAGTAAGCAATCGCATCGGGCAGCGGCAGACACAACTTTGAGATTCTCGCCCTTGGGCTGAGAATGAGGCCTGGGGCTACAGTAGTCTAGGTCAGAAGCACTTATTAATCATTCATTCATTTGTCAATATTCCAAAGTATGTTAAATGTTCCCCCCCGCTAGAAAGCAGGCATTAGCCAGACGGTGATTAGCACAGATGAGCAGCACCCTGGAAATCCTGGAGCTTACTGTCTAAATACTACAAAATAGTCACGGAAACAAAATATAAATGTGCAGCAAGGAGAGGTGCCGGGGTGGTGATAATTTTATCCAGTGATAATTTCTCTGCCAAACCAATTTGAAAATATATTGAACTCAAAGTGCCTTGTACTTATATTAGAAGTGGTGGGTAAGAACTCTGAGCTGGAGTGCCCAGGTTCAAATCCCAGCTTTACCACTGTGTATCCTTGGGGAAATGAATCTCTCTGCCACAGTTTTCTCTTGTGTAAGGTAGGGGATAACAGTAGTGCTCACCTCAAAGGGTTGTTGTGAGGATTGAATTAGTTGATACATGGAAAGAATTTAGAACAGTGTCTAACTCACAGGATGCATTCATCAATGTTAGTTATTATTTTTGTAAAATTTAACGTTGACTGGTATTGTTATCTCCAACAAACAGATAAAAATCTGCAGTACAGACAAGCCAAGGTTGTTAGGTAAAGGGATAGAAACATAATTCAAACCCTGTCTGACCCCTACATTATCAGATATCTCAGCAGCCAAGATAAGTAGGACTGGCTGGGTAGGTCACTTCTTGGTGCAAAATTCCAAAAGGGATCTAATAAGTTTGTGGGGACAGACTAAAGGGTGAATGGTCCTAAAGTAATTAAGGCACCTTGACATAAGCCGTTCATTCCTTGCTAATTTTCCATATATATAAGCTAAGCACCAGGCCCAGGGCTGGAGAGGCAATAGTGAAATAAACGAGAACATTTCCAAGGATCCTGACTTAAAGAGAGCACAGTCTCATGGAAGAGATATGCCAGTAAACAGAAAAAATAACACAAAATTGTTAGGTGTTGTGCTTGAGTACCTTTCAAGCTAGGTCTTACCTGATGTCACGTTTATAGATGGAAAAAGTTCTGCTGGCCTTGGCTCAGTCTTCCTTAAGTTTAGGACCAATCTGGATGCTATTGGCTACAAGTAATAGAAACATATCATAATAAGGATTCTTTTTTAAACCTCCATAACAAGAAGTCAAAGAAGTTAGTAGGCATGGAATGTCCAGGATTGGCTAAGGCAAAGATCCAGTTCCATCTTTGAAGCAACTTCCAGAATGTTTGCATGAGGAGCTCTGCAGACCATCTCCCCAGGGAAACAACCATAACTGGTAAAATTATTTTTAAAAAAACTTTAAAAAGTCCCTTGAAATTGTCTCATGGACGTGCAGCAAATGAAGAAACATTTCATGGGAAGTAAGAAGAGCAAAACTCTATGCCATTTGAGCCGTGGTTTGTTCCCCCCATGCTCTCCCAGCTCAGGAGGATGAAGCTGTGCCCCACGTGGGTGCAGATAAGAACATGGGACTCCCTCTTTCTCCAGATCCATGCTTAGACCTAGAATACTGCAAGCCACCAGAAATTCTCGTCCCACCCAGCTCCGTGCTACAGAGGCTAATTCCAGGCAAGAGTGGCTGAGAGGTCTGGGACTACTTTCCTCTATCCAGCCCCCACTCATAGAACACAGGCTCTACCCAAGTCATGGCAGGCTGAGAATACTGGGACCCTGATTGCCTGACTCCAGCTCAGTCATAAAGTGGAGGTTCCATACCAGGAGAGGCAAGTCAAGAGGACCAGAGGCCATGACCCCAGCACCCTACTTGTACAGCGGCAGGGATGTTACTGCAAGAAGAGCAGGCTACTAGAGGAGTGGTACAAAGCTTTTGCCCAGGGGAAGAAGGGAAGCCTGAAGAACAGAAAACCTTGATGCTTTCCCCCCCAAAACTGACTTTATTGGGAACAGAATAGGGGGGAATTTCAGGCCTGAGTGTGCAATCAAAAACAATGAAGACTTTGATGTAAGCAATTATAAGGAGGTTGGTAGCTCCTTGAAAGCAAGAAGCTAAACCCTAGACGATCTAGTAGTTTAACAGAGAGAATCATGAAAAGAGGCAGCTAGAATAGTCCTCCTGGGATGAGAACAACCCTTGAAGACTGGCCTTAAAGACTATCCCTGCAAAGAAGTCCAAATTTTATTGGAGCCGACGATGGAGAAATTTATGCCCTGGGGCATTATCAAAAACAATAGAGCAAGTCGTCAATTAATGGGGGCTAACAGCCAGGTGTGATACCGAGAGAGGCAGACAGCTTAACAGAGAGAGAATGAAAGACAGTCTGAGAGCCCTGCCAAATACATTGGCATCTGAGGGTGACCGTGCTCATGCCAGAGGCTGTGCTCTCTAAGAGGCAACATTAGAGGCTGCACCCTGTGGGAGAAGTAGATTTTACTGAAATAGTCAAAGTCACTAACCAAATAAACTAGCAAACAACAAGAAGTCTGGGGGAGGGTGGGGAATCTATCTAGAGTTGCTCCAATATTTATCTAAAATTTCCAGTTTTCAAAAAAAATTAGATACATGCAAAGAAACAAAAGGTATGGCCAATCGAGAGGAGAAGCAGGTAACAGAAGCTGCCTTTGAGAGGGCCCAGATGCCAGACTTAGCAGACAAAGACTTCAAAGAGGCCAAAATAAATATATTCAAAGAACTAAAAGAAACCATAACTAAAGAACTAAAGGACAGGGCTAAGGCACACTAGCAGAAGTTAGACGTGAAGCTGAGAGCCTAACAGAGGAGAACCAGTTTTTAATACTGTGCACAAGAGCATGAAGAGGTTGAGCTGCTGAGAGAATAGGACAACAGCCTTCAACAGCTGTATACCTTCTCCATACTATAGCACATTTCACAAATGGATGTTCCTAGCAACAGTTCTGATTTTTTTAGAGTCTAAATATGTTCAGTGTTGTCTCATAAGACAAGAAAACATAATATATTTTAGATTGATTTTCATCAGTGATGAGTAAGACTTAGCTATCTGGAAAGTTAACATCGGCAATAGAGATAATTTCTAGCTGTATGAGCAATTCCAGCTGAATGAGGTGTGCTGGTTGTGTTCTCCATGCCAGTATCAGTTAAAGGCATGAACCACAAAACGAAAATGTGAATTTCACTAAATGCATGCCCACTCTTGTTAATCTTACTACATTGAGTACAGTGGATACAATCATCATTAAAAATACATAGATAAATCCACCAAGAGCATTTTGCTGCCTTAAGCAAAATGTTTGCTCCCAAATCTCAAAATGTGGAAAGCACCTCATGTGGCTAAATATTTAGATAATCAAAATTTCTGAGTTTTCCTACTTTGGCTGTTGGATTCTAAGCAAAAGCATCTAAGAAATACAAGTCCGGTTCAAAAACAAGACAACTTTCTTTCACTGTTGCCCACATTTTTTTTTTTTGTATGCAGCAAACACTCATAAGAGCAAAGTCTCCCTATAAGCAATGAAACAAAATCACAGATATATATGATATTAAAAATACAATATTAAAAACTTGTTTTTAAAATAGTAATTTAAGTAATAGCTCTAAATAAATAAGTTTGGTTTCACTTAAAAAATAACTAAAGGAAAGTATAATGACAATGTCTCATTGAGTAGAGCATGTCAACAAAAAGATAAGAATTACAAATAAAGTCAAAGAGAAATTCCAGAGTTGAGAAGTACAATAACCGAAATTAAAGAATTCACTAGCAGGACTCAACAGTAGACTTGTGCTGGCAGAAAAAAGAATTAGTGAATTTGAAGATCGATTGATAGAGATTATACAATAAAGAACAATCAGAAAAAAGAAGGAAGAAAAATAAAAAGAGCCACAGAGACCCATGAGATACCATCAAGCTTACCAATACACAATTAAGGGGAGTCCCAGAAGGAGAGGTGAGAGAGAAAGGGACAAAAAGGAAAAAAAGAATATTTGAAGAAATAGTGGGCAAAAACTTTCCAAATTTGTTGGAAACCATTAATCTAAACATGCAAGAAGCTCAGTGAATTCCAAGTTGAATAAACTCGAAGAGATCTACGTTAGACACATCATAATCAAACGGTTGAAAGCTGAAGACAAAGAGAGAATTTTGAAAGTATCAAGAAAAAAGCAACTAATTACATACACAGGATCTTCGAAAATAACCGCTGATTTCTCATCAGAAAGTATGAAGGCCAGAGGGCAGTAGGATGACATATTCAAAGTGCCAAAAAACCACAATTCAATATTAAGTAAAACTATAGTTCAATTAAAAAGTTAAGACATTCCCACATAAACAAAAATTGAGAAGTGTATTGTTAGCAGATCTTCCCTGCAACAGATACTAAAGGGAGTTCTTCATTCGGAAATGAAATGACATTAGCAAGTAACTTGAATTCGTGTGAAAAAATAAAAATGACCAATACATAGGTAAATATAAAAGATAGTATAAATGGATATTTTGTTTGTAACTTTTTTCTCCTACCTGATTTAAAAGACACTTACATCAAGCAATAATAATAATACTCTTTTAATGGACTTACAACATATAAAAATGTAATTTGTATGACAATAATAGCACAAAAGAGAGGGAGGAAATGAAGCTATAAAGGAACAAAGCATTTATGTATTAATTTAATTAAGTTGATATGAATCTGAAGTAGATTGTTATAATTTAAGATGTTAATTGTAATCTGCAGGGAAATCTCTAAGAAAATAACTTTAAAAATATAGTAAAAGACAAAGGAATTAAAACAGTACATTAGAAAACATTTAGCTATAACAAAAGGAGGCAGTAGTGGAGGAATAGAGGAACCAAAAGACATAAGAAATACAGAAAACAAAGCAAAATGGCAGAAGTAAAGCCTACCTCATCAGTAATTACATTAAATGTAAATGGATTAAATACTCCAAATAAAAGGTGGAGACTGGAAGAATGAACAAAAAAACCAAAATGCTAACTCCATGAAACAACTCCATGATGACTACAAGAGACACATTCAGATTCAAAGACACCAACAGGTTCAAACTAAAAGGATGGGAAAAGCTCCATCATGCAAACAGCAACCAAAAGAGGGTTGGAGTGGCTGTAAAAATGAGGCAAAATAGACTTTAGAAAAAAATTGTTACTAGAGGAAAAGAAGGACATTTATATGATAAAATGGTCATTCCACTGTGTACATATAACGATTATAAACATATGTGCACCTAACAACACAGCCATAAAATACGTGAAGCAGAAACTGATGGAATTAGAGAGAAATAAACAATTCAATAGTAATAGTTGGACAGTTCAATAACCCACTTTCAATAATTGATAGAGTGATTAGATGGAAGATCAACAAGGAAACTGAAGACTTGAACAACGCTATACACCAATTATACCTAAGACACGTCTATAGGACTCTCTATCCAACAAGAGCAGAACACACATTCTTCTCAGATGAATGTAGAACGTCCTGCAGGATAGACCATATGTCAGGCCATAAAAAAGCCTGAATAAATTTAAGAGGATTAAAAACATACAAAGTGTGTTGTCCAACTACAGTGGAATGAAATTAGAAATCAATAAAAAATGAATATTTGGGAATTACTTGAATATGTGAAAATGAAACAACATAGAAACCACAGGGGAAATTGAGAATACTTTGACATTAATAAAACCAAAACACAAAAAAACAAAACTTATGGGATGCAGCTAAAGCAGTGCTCGTAGATGTATGTATATTCAAAAGGAAGAAATGTCTCAAGTCAGTAGCCTCACATTCTACTTTAACTCTTTAAACTGGAAAAAGAAGAGCAAATTAAATCAGAAGAAAGCAAAATGGAGGAAATAGTAAATATTAGAGTGGAAATTAATGAACTAGAGACTATAAAAACAATAGAGAAAATCAACAAACAAAAACTACTTCTTTGAAAGATCAACCAAATTGAAAACCTTTAGCAACACTGACCAAGAAAAAAGAGAAAAGATTCAAATTATTAAAATCAAGAATGAAAGAGAACCATCACTACCAATCTTACGAGATTAAGATATATCATAAGGGAATATGATTAACAACTGTATGCCAACAAATTAAGTAAACTATATAAAATGCACAGATTTCTAGAAAGACAC